TGGGGGTGTTGTGGTTGTGCTACAAAACTGGTTTGGGTTAAAGGGTTGGGTGGGGGGTGGTGGGGGGGGATGTTGGGGGGGGGGTGGGGGGTTAAAGGGTGTGGGGGGGTTGGTTTTTTTTATTTTTGGTTAAAAAAAAAAAAAAAAAAATGTAAAATGGGGGGTTGGGTGTTGTATTTATTGGGGGTGTGGGTATGTTATGGGGGGGTTTGGACTGGGGGTGGGTAGAAAGTGGGGGTTGGGGGTGTGTTGGGGCAAAAAATAGGGTGTGTGGGGTGGTTGGGGATATATTTTGGGTGGGTGGGGGGGGGGGGGGGTGGGGTTTTTAAAAAAGGTTTTTTTATAACCAAAAAAGTGGGACAAAAAAAAAAACAACAAAATTTAAACACAACAGCAACAAATATTTTATGGGTGGGGGGGGGTTATTTGGGATAATTAAAAAACCGGTGGGGGGGTGTGGGGGTTTGTTTTTATGTGTTGTGTTTGTGTTTGGTAAATAATTTGGTTATATAAATAACAAAATTGTATATTGTGGGTTGGGGTCAAATTTGGGGGGTGTGGTTTGGGGATTTTATGGGGTGTTTTAAAGGGTGTATGGCCCCCTTATTTTGGGGGGGTGTGTTGTGGGGGGTGGGGGGATATTCAAAACATTTTGGGGGGTGGGGGGTGGGGGGGGGGGGGGGGTTGTGGGTGTTGGGGGGGGTTGGGGGGGGTTGGGTGGGGGTTATTGTTGTGGGGTGGGTGGTGGGTGTTGGTGTGGGGGGGGGGGTGGGGGGTTTTTGGGTATAGTCATGTGCCTTTTCAATCACTGGCCTGGGAATTCCAATTTTTCGCCAACTACTACAAGTTGGACCCAACGTCCATACCCTACATTTCCCATTTTGGTACCCTGCCCTTCATTTAAGTTGCACTACATTGTTAAACTATTATTTGTTAATGCGTGGATTACTTACTATGTTGTCTCTGTGGCGCGGACTCGTAGGCTGGTCTAGCCCCTTTTAAGAACCCTCAGGCCTTGGGTGGATATTACACCCCACATTTATGTAGATTTCATTAACTAGGGTATTCTCCATGCTCTTTGCAGTGCGTTTATCTTTCAGTAATTGGTCCATCTTGTATACATGTTTGGGTTAGATACAACAGTCACTTTGACCTCAAAGATGAGTGGTAATGGGTAATGTGTGTATTTGTGGTAATCATTTACAACAACAAAAAGAAAAGAACACTGTAAGAATTTAACAGAAGGGTGTAGTGAGAAATAGAAACACACATGAAACAAATAAAACAAACAGAAAATGGTTAGAAACAGGCTGATATATGTATTACATGTCCTTTTTTATTAAAATTATTTAACTATTCTCATGTAAAGGGGGTTGGACAATGAAGGACTATAGGGGGGGGGGGGTAAATTTCACTGTCCATGGTCGGGGGTGGGAATTGGATCATAACCAATAAGACCCAGAAAATATCAAAAGTAATGCTACAACAACATATTTTGGTGGGGGACTTATGGTAAGGGGATGAGCACCTTGTCTAATTGGAAAGTAAAAATCTAAGTTACTAAGATCCCCTGTGGATTGGTCCTATGGTCCTCAAAAACATACACTGGGCCCTATACCCCCCCTAAATGCCTCTTTTTATGTCAGCATAATTTGGGGATTGTTCACCGTAAGAATCACCTAGTTTCTTATTGAGTGATCAGATGTGAGTATGTCAAAAGCTGCAACATAACCACATCAACCGAATAAACAAACATTTTCCCAACAAATGCAAAATCAGGTGCTTTGTGAATGTCTGCACAAGTATATAATAAAAAAAAAAAAATTTGGTTTTTTAGTAAAAGGCGCCCTCACCCTTTAGCCTTATACAAGCAGCAACTCAAACTCCCAAAAAATTATTTAGGATATATCAAATCAATACATATGAGTGCGCTAATTAACTATAAGTTCTATAAATCAATATGTGAAAAGGCCAATCTATATTACTCACGTTGACAATTATAATATATAACACACATATTTTTGTAGCGAATCCACCACAAAAATGCTCTGGTTGAGCGATCCACTCACCAAGCTAAAGTGCTGATCAAAGGTTATAAGATCTCAGCTCTTAGCGCTTTTGCTCTGGGGAGCGACGACAACCGCCACCTTCCAGGACTTTGGCTGGGCATATTCTACTGCAGTATAAAAATGCCAGCTGAAAGACCCCCCTCAGTCTATACGGAAATAAAGTAATAAGGGTGAGGTATACTCTGCAGTTGCCACTCATGGTCATGATTTGGGAAGATCCGCACTTGCTCCATGTACTTCAGGGCCACTATCAAAATGACAAGACGAAAATAATAGGTGCAGCCTGTTCTTTTACACATATCTCATTTATTAAAAGTTTAGGTCTTATAAGCCATTTCACAGGGAACAAATAAGGAGTCTAAGCTGACACCAGCATCAATCGCATTAGGACAAGGGCAAAGAAACTAAACTGCAGCCTTGCCGCTCATTCAGCAGAACCCAATAGCAAGGTAGCGTCCTGACGACAGCATCCGAAAAAACCACGCCCTACCCGTTTCGTCACCACCAAAGTCCTCAGGGGGGCAGTAGCAGAGGGCAAAACGTCAGACATAAACGAAATAATATACCCGCACGCACTCTGCAGCCATTGCGGTGACCATCTCAATCAGTCTCAGCTGCCATTTAAATTACAAACACTGTTCCAATACTACAATTGAATACTATTGTTACCGACCGTATGTGGGGGGCGGGCATATCAGCCAAACTAAAACATGGTAAACTTTACATAAATGTATACATCATTCAACACAAAAAGTCTAGGGAAACCATCTAACCCCACTGGACAATCTAGTCCGTTAAAGGACCATACTTACCCATTAAAACTAATCACTTTACTCAAAAAAATTGTTCTAAAAAAGAAATGAAAAAAAGGCTGATCTATAATTTGCAGCAAGCACTTAAGCTTCTGGTGTGTCGCATTCGATTTATTTGGTGGGTGGATCGCTCCACGGTGTTAAATATTTTGTCAACTTGAGTAATATATATTGGACTTTTTCAACATTATTGATTTAAAGAACATTTAGTATTGTTTTGACAAGGGAGCTTTTCAGGCAAATGGCAATGCTTAAAAATACCTCTCTAGATTAGTAAGGCTCCAAGGAGCGAGGGCACTCCTTTTCCTCTTTGTAAATTGAACTTTATTGTTGCTGTAATTGTCTCCTTTATAATTGTAAAGCGCTGACGTCACACATGTTGGACCGCTATATAAATTCACTGTATATAGTAATAATAATAAAAAATGCCCTACATATCTCTTTGGAAAATGTTTGTTTTTGAAATGATTGGTTAGGAGACAAGGCCTCTTTGTCGATAGCATAATATCTTCCTTGCATGGCAAAACTAGCCAAAACCACTATACCTCTTTCTATTCGCTTCGCTTATCGTCTTTTCAGTTGTTCAGGATTCTAGGTTCAGCAGAATGACGGTCCCTAACGATTGTTTTTTATGGTTGATCTGTGGCACCCCCCCAATGTGGGCAATCAGCCAGCTTTGAACGTCCATGCACTATGATTCATATATTTTGCTCTCCCCGGACCGCTGATTCAGTTCCACCACAATTTTTTCGCAAACCCAAACTTCTAGGCTCATGGGAATTTTGCCTTCAAAGGAAAAGCTTATCTCTAACAAAATACCATTATGTGTATAAGAACTATGTCTTATGTTTCTCTTATTTACACCATTGGGCTTCTTCAATAATATAGTTTCCCTTTGTAGAAATTATGTGAAAAATCTGAAGTAGTGGCATGCAAACCAACGTAACAAACTCTTTACATTGAGAGAGCACGTGAACTTCTACTCAGCCAGAGGAGAGCAACTTGATAATGGGTGGCTAGGAGTCCTAGCACCATATTAAACTAAACAGCACAAACCAACAATTTTTCTTCAAGGTTTTGTAAACCAGGGAAAAAGCGGGGGGACACCTTTTAAG